AATATTTTGGCCAACGTTGCCTTTTTTTGTTATTTTTTTTTCATTTTTAAACCTGGCGTGAGGATGTCGTTGACGCCGGTTCCGATGACTTTTCTGGTGCACTGATCATCTGATCGACCGATCTTGTATGGAATTGAATTGTCTGGCAGGCGGTGATGGATACATGAGGATCATCTCCAGGTCTTCCTCCTCCTGTCAGTTGAGAATTCCGTCCTGATTTTCTCTGTTTAGTCCGTGGATGACTCTAATTCACAGTACCCGAATTGGAAGCATGTCGTTGGGAATCACGTGAACCGTATAAAGTTCACATGAGATATTTCTCTTATCGCGTTTCAGGTCAGTCGTAGAAGGGCAAATAGTGATACGAGGAAAATCCCATGGAAATATGTATAATATCCGTTGCGAACGTACGGAGATCCACTGGACATCTGCATAAAAAATGCAGCGGATATCATCATACAATGCCTTCTAGATATCCGCTGGATACAGTCCAGAATATTTTGTGGCATGAAATAAAAAAATATCCGTTGCGAACGTACGGAGATCCACTGGACATCTGCATAAAAAATGCAGCGGATATCATCATACAATACCTTCTAGATATCCGCTGGATACAGTCCAGAATATTTTGTGGCATGAAATGAAATGAACGTTTATATCGTTTGTGCTTTAAATATGCTTACAATCGCTGCCAAACACCTTCAACGTTTTCCTGCACTTTAGGACCTCTTACTTCAAACATGAGGTACATGCACATGTTCAAATAGATCTCTGGACTCTTCTTACACCCAAAATCTCTAGACACGGCCTCAAATCACATAATTTGCTATTCATAGACAAAAGTTTGCAATCCACCGTTATGAGTCAGGTCGCAAGGTAAACCGCCCTACATCCATCCACTGCACAGGAACTGCCTGGAATCTCCCTTAATTGGATTTCCACCCTCAATAATTGCTTCAAGCCACATTATATGAGACCAGGTGGACTCGTGGTTACCTCGGCAATCGAGAGCCTCAATGCTTTGAAGAGCATGGAAAGCCAGTGGTTAAGGTGGAGGCCTCTTCTTCCCGTTTTTTCCTCATATCACCGCCACAGGCTTGTCTTTCTGAACTTCTACGTCCGAAGGACGACCTCCTCGAGGATCTCATAGAGGGAGAGGACACTGAGTCCCAAGAGCATCCCAACTGTTCCGCCTCGTTCCTCAGGGATCTGCAGGATGTCGTAGGACTCCCGCTCCTCCAGCTCCTCCCGCTCCTCCCGCTCCTCCCGCTCCTCCCGAACTTCTTCCTCCAGGTTGGCCAAGAAGGTGTTCACCAGGAACAAGTCAAAACGTCTCCCGGAAGCTGTGAACCTTCTCCCTCGAAATGGTGGGGCGATATTGCGAAATCATGCATCGTTCGGGGCGTTTGCAACCCAGTGACTCGTACTCTCTGGTTTTCAAGTGGACCAAAGTCGTGTACTCCTCTGTAAATGTCAGGAAGTCGTTCTCGGCGGTGCAGGTGGGTTTGAAATTCATCCAGGGACCTGAACAGGTCTCGTTCAGGCTTCTCAACATACATTCCTCGGTACACTGAGCAAAATAGAGAATACAACAACCGCAACAGGATAAAGTAAACTTTTCCATCCATATGAATCAAGAATTCTCGTCGGTCTATGGTCGAGGCATAAAGAAGCTCAGATTCCGCGAGTGAGTCGGTAAGTGAGTGTGTTTGTCCCTTCTCTGAGTGGTACTTGCCAATAGTGGCACGTGTACAACCGGTCAAACACGGAATACCCTTGAATGCCAATACCACCTCCCAATTGTTGATGATCTTGCTTCACAAGGATGATTTCAAGGCCGCACTCGAGGTCAAGAAGGTATGTTCTCGCTGAGACACTTGAAGGAACGACTCGATCTTGCTCCCAAAAAAAACGGTTGGACGGAAGACCATCGGAAACGCGTCATTTCGTTAGACGAAAGCAAGATTAGCCCATTCAGGCGCCAATCGTTCTGCCAGCAGACCTGATGCCTGAATGGGTTGATGGAGAAATTGTGAGTTTTTGTCATTAAAAAAATGGTTTGAAAGGATTAACCAATTTGGAACCAATGGACACAATTGGTCCAGTAAATTACTTGAAGCACTTAGACAACCCCTACATGTCCAATCCACCGTCAAACATAGTTGCGGATGTCTCGTGGTTTAGGGATGCATCTTGGCCATGGAATGTGGGAATCTCTTCTGAGTTGGTAGTGGCCGAAGACGATTTCGAAGAAACCATTAATTACTGCCAGCTCCATTTGGATCTAATCATCCTCCGAAAGGATAATCATCCATGGAACGCAGAAAAAAAGCCTTCAAATAGGTTCAGAAACAAAAATAATCAAACTCGGGGATCGCCACCACGATTCATTTCGTCTCCCTAGCACATTCATCACCGATTAGCTCATGGGCAATTAGCGTTAGCATATGGTACAGGCACCAATGATTCTGAAACGGTACGGACCATTAGCAAGAACTTGTTGGAAGGCACAGAGGGAATTCGTGTGCGGCACGATGCTAGCGACTGATTCCAGAAAATCCCTCGCCACCACGTTACCCTGGGGCTCTGAAAGTGTTTCTCACTGGTGCTAAAGTTGCAGCAGAAACATTTTTCCGTCGTGAAACAAATGTCCCCACCCTACATCAAAATGTACAGCCTGACAGTGCTCGCTGTGCTAAAGAACTGTAACGACTGAGATGACATGGAGGGTTATAACAGTCACATTGTTCCGCGGTGTAACGGTAGCACACCTGACCGGCAAGCAGGAAGTCCGGATTCGATTCTCGGCCGCCCCCTGGCTTTCGACGCCTGAGCGATGCGTTCCTTGCATGAAGCCGCTTAGCAGGCTCCACGGCTCTCGTATTTCCGGAGCTCAGCATTCGCTGCGTCTTGCTGTTCGGCGGTCTGAGCGGCACATCTGCTTGCTGTTCATTACCGATTCTAGTCATTACAGCTAGCAGCAATTGTGGCAGTTCGCACCGCAACTGCAGTAGCAAACGTTTCCGCGGCAGCACCAACTGTTTTTTTTTTGTTTTTTTTTTTTTTACCAGCAGCAATTGCCTCATCGCCGTCCTGTGTGAGCTCCCTTCGACATTTCTTCTTCGCGTTCAACCTCACCTGGCAAAAAATTACACCATTTTGATAGGAGGTGCATCGCGTAAGCGTAACGAAGCAGAGACTCTTTAGACGATTATTTTAACTTCATCGATCGAGAGAACTCAAATAAATTGGCCATGACGTGAAACGCAAACAGAAAACTATGGCATGGAAGCGATGGCGCGAACCGCCACGTCTGACCTAACGGAAAAAAAATGAATAAAGAAAGAAACACCTCAGCAAAAAATGTATTCAAATGAAGAACTTGCAGTCGATCAGTGAAAACGCGACACGCATTCAGTTAGCTGTGTCAAGCAATGGGTGGTACTCAGTATGGTACTTAGTACTAAGTATGAAGCCTATGGACATGATAGGATGAACCAAAGCCTATGGCTCAGACTGATACAGCCCGATGGCCCATGGCCCATGGCCCATGGCCGAGGGTGGTATAGGCTAATGGACCTTGGGCTTTGAGTGGCGGATGGCCTGGCATATGGCCTGAAATGATCTAGGCTCGGAGGACTCGCACGTTGCCGTGACAGACACCAGCACGACTTATTTCCAGCACGTTCAGTGCTCTTGGTATCACCGATTAGCTCATGGGTTATTAGCATTAGCTTATGGTACAGGTACCACTGATTCTGAAACAGTACGGGCCATTTCCAAGAACTTGTTCGACTTTAGAACAGGGGGAAATTAGCGCATGTGCAGCAGAATACCCTACCGAGTAATTCCTGAAAATGCCTCGCCTCCACACAAGCACCAGTGAGAGCGTTAAGTGTGAGTTGCAGCAGAAGCACTTTTCCGTTGTGGCAGCAATGGGAAACAAATGTCCCCACCCTACAACAAAATGTACGGCCTGACAGTGCAAACGACTGTAGTGATTCGAGATATGGAGAGGCCTGACAAAACGTCCCGAGTTCCGTGGTGTGATGGTAGCACACCTGCCCGGCAAGCAAGAGGTCCGGGTTCGATTCATTTTCAAGGAAAATTCTTCTATTCGCCATGTCGCAGGTGAAGGGATATTTAAAGACAGAGGCTCCCCCTTCACCTGTCACATCGAAGCCGCAAGTGTCTCTTTTGAGGCCGAATCAGACTGCATTTAGATGTCTCTAGAGAGGCCTTCGCTGCTTCGTGAGTTCCAGGTGCCCCCGCCGTTTTGGAACTGACACACGTGGGAATGATTAGAGTGATTGGGGTGGAGGCCACCGTGGAGGCCCCCAGGCATCGAGCCCGGGGCAAGTTCCCTCTTTTGCCCTCCCAGGCGAACCCTGTCAGGCGAACGTGTGTCTGCTGTGAAATCCCTCCTCATGCGACTCCAGTTCTAAGATGGCGGCCGCGCTTGGCTATTCCATGTCATGTTCCATGTATACACAAAGGCCGAATAGACTAAACAAACGCGCGTGCGCAAAAAAATACGCCTGATTCGCGTGCGGTAGATCGGGGGGAAGATGGCTCTGTTTACGAAGTCCACGTGCGTGCCATATTGCCATTGCTCGGAGCGTTTAGCGCACGAATTTTTGCTTTACGGACTCGTACCGAGCAATATCTCTTTGTTGCCGTTCGGGTTCTCCAAAAAAAGTACGTTTTGTCTTTGGTCTCAACGGGAGCATTTGGGCCGACTCGGGACTAGGCCTTTACAGGCCTGACTTGATTCACTGAATCCTCATCTTTTTCTGGGAAATTCATTTTGCCCAGCGTTAAACATCTAACAGACTTGCGTTATCAAAAGGATAGAAAGGGGCTTTTGCATCCCAGCATTACTCTTGGTTGGTCCAATGGCCATAGGTATCGCATGACTCGATGGATGTGTCATTATGTGGCCAAACCTTCTTGTGAAGATGGAAATTAGGCATTTGGAAACTGTATCAGAATGTCCAAGGATGACAATGGTCACTGATGATTTAGCGGGATATGTCTTTCCTATCTGAAATCGCTGGGCAACCGTTTCACGGTCGCAGCAACCCGTCGACGGCCGGCGTGAACGTACCCAAAAGCACGGTTTGAAGAAGGCTGTAGGATTGTAGGTTGATTATCCATCAGAAGATGCATGTCCCTTGATCAATTGCCACCAAGAGGATCACTTTGTCAAGGTGAAATAACATCAGACACCCTGCAAGACTGGAATTTAGTGAATTTTCACTCTCGAGAGTTGTTTCTTCACTCAGAATGACAGAGAGGGGGTGGGTTTGAGAACAGCCAAACAATGCCAATCTTCTTGCATGTTTGGGATGTACTTTCAACTTTGGAGGAGGGGGAGTTATGATTTGGACTGCATGTCGATGTAGGGAACTAGTTTTTTTCGCAGCAGTAGAAAGTACGGTTGATTGTTAGAAGTTCATCTACTTCAAGGCATCTTTTTCTTTCCATCCATGCACCTCTTTATTGGAATGATTTCATTTTGCAAGGCAACAGTGCCAGCTGTCTCAGGATAGGAGTAGCTAAGGAAAAATGTAAGAAAACAGTTATTCACATCCATGACCTGTGCAATGTTCAATTCTCAATCCCATTGAGCATGTCTTACAATACCCAGACTATTAATGTGAGGGCCTCCCAGTGTCCACCAAGGCCAATCCGGCACTTCGTATGGGATGAGGATAGGATGAAGTGCCTGTAGAGACGTGCCAGAAGCTGATAGAAGGCATGCTGCATCGGTTGTAGTTTGTTTTAAAAGGAAGAGGGGGAAGCACATAAGTAAAAAATGATCAATTATTGAATATTATGTTCTTTATTATTGCAATATTATTACTGGCTTTATTAACATAATTGGTAGTAACTGTAAGAATAAAGTAGCACAAATTAAACTTTGAAAAAACATCGGGTGTGCTTTGGATTCAGAAGGGTCTCATATTGGGGGCTGAAAAGAACTGCAAAGTAGCACTAGGGCTTGCACACAAGAATGAGGATGAAATGCAACATAAGAAGCTGAGGCATATCTTAAAAGTATGTGTGATACAAGCAGCAAACCTGTGACTCTGATAGTTGTACTTTTATATCTTCATTGTTCTTTAGAAAGAGATTAATTATTGTCCTGCATGAGTTTTTTGGAATGGTTTTTATACTGCATGATGTGATTGAAGAATTGCCCATTTAGAAAGGAAATTTCCCAAGCTACTCTGCTTGGGTTTAACACAGCTTATGTGAAGGGTCATGGGCAATTGGTCCTGGTTTTCATTCACAAAGGTGACCTGCAATTTATGTCAGAGGAGTAATGCTGGAACAGAAATGGGCCTCTGCTGAATAAAAGACAAACTAGCATAGAAACAGGCTAGAATGAGAAGCAGTAAGAGTGTTGCACTCCAAGGTGTTGACTGGGTTTTTTTTGCCACCCTGATCACTTATGATGGATCAGTACTGTCATCCATGTTCTGTTTTTGCATGCAAGAACTGGTCTCCATTACTTGATGGAATGTAAACTCAAGCCAGTAAAGTAGAATGCACATGTACAATTGGATGGCAAGGTTTTGTTTTTATACATCACAACAAAACTGCTAGAAATGTGAAAGAAGGCTTAATCTATTTTTATTTGAGGAGAATCCTGCAAGCAGGATGTTGAGATATTTCTGGGGATGGACCCAATCCTTTGACCCCTCACAGATGCAGTCATCTTATCAGTCCTAGCTGTAACCAAACATGTGACATGGGCTGGACTGGGTTGCTGAAAAAGCTGCTTTGTTGTCATTGTCAGGGCCCATCTGGACTCATTTAGGACAGGGCAATAGAATTCTGAGATTCCAGTATGCACAGGGAGTAAAGGACTGAAAGCTTGTAATGATAAGCAGCCCTAATCCTTGATTCTTCTTACTCCAGGAGTCCTGAAAATTATTTAAATTTAATATCCAGCTTCTTACTGCAGGATCTCAAGACAGGTGTTGTATAGTGTGGTAGAGGTTTCCATGCATGCACAAAAATAAGTGGGCCAATGTGGGTTATTTGTCAGGCATGGCAAATGTGAAATCATGCAGAGCCAAGCTTGAAGATTTACTGGTTGAGCTTGTTTTTCTAGGAGAAAAATACCTGTTTGGCCTGAATCACCAAAATCATACGGATTTTTCCTTGAAAGAAAACTTTAATGTAGGTCATTGATATTCTGAACCAGCTTTAAATCAGCCAAGTAACAATCAGCTGAACCTCCATTACCATCTATTTACTCTATTTACCACTTATTTAATTACTATTTCAATGCTCCTTGGTCTTTAGCCTTTTGGCTCTGGTTACCTTTCATCATTTCTGATTACATCCCAAATGACAGTCCTATGTCTTGATTCATCATGTTTCTGTGTGTGGGTTCCACTGTGTGGATAGCCAATCAGTGGTAAACCTATTGGCATGGAGAATAGCAACTGAAACATTGGTTTGTTGTCATGATTGGTATTGTGCAACAGAGGAGCCTGGTTCAAGCAAAAGGATGAGTTTGGCACCTTTAGACATATAGGTTGCTCATCACTGTCTATTGTAAACAGAGAGGCCCAGAGAATATCTGTAGTGTTTTTTTCCTGTTCATCTTCAAGTGCAGTTTTTTTTTTCCCATTTTCAGGGTATTTTTCATGCATTGGCATAATAGTAATTTTCCTTGTAACCCTGTTCTTGCAACAGTTGAAGTCATGGCTCAATCTGGTAGCTGCATGGCTTGTAATCTTGTCTTATTGAGGTCTTATATTCCTATTTGGGGTAAAAGTGAAATATTTTATATTTAGTAGTGTGGTGAAAGACATACTGAGATGGATTTCTGAGCAAGATACCATAGTCTAAATGCCTTTATGTTGTTTCACCTGGTTGTGTTCTTAGGCCCAAAGTCATGATCACTGGTGTTAGTAGAGATTATGACAGATAAATTGGAGGAGCCAGCTAGACCATTTTTATTGCCGAGCAAGAACAATGAAGTTTGCCGAACATCTTGCTGCACATATGACTCCGAAATGGAGGACACAGTACATTTTTTATGAGGTGAAATTTCTATTCTCAATCCTAAATTTTTAAAATTTGCAATTGCATGAATTGCCAGCATGACTAATTCAATGGTATGGACATTTTCTTGCCTTTTCTTCTACGTAGGTGATGAAGTCAACAATCTATTCAGCATTGGAGCAAGCACCTTCAGCCAAAGTAGAAAATGAGGATGCCATCTGCCAATACCTTGGGAATTTCGATAAGAAGTTCTTCCGTATTTGTGAAAAGGAGTTGCTAAAAATCAATACCTTCTTTTTGGGTAGGATCTCATATCTTAAAATTTTACTAGCATCTAATGTCATTTTGCTTTTTTTAGTTTTTGTTTCATATGGTTCTGATTCAAGAAATGTTGATAACTATTCTCTATTAAGTTGTGAATGTGGTATGTCTGTCAGTCTGAGAGACTTATACTGGGAGCCATCCCCAATATTTCTCCCTTTCCTTCCCTTTCAGAAAAACTTGCTGAAGCAACAAGGACATATTCTTCTTTGAAGAGTGAACTTGCTGCAGCTGCTCAAGCGCAGCAGGAGGAGAGGAAGAGTTCAACCAAGTTGTCCATGCTTCTCTCTTCTTGCTCCAAGACGACAATGAAGCCCGCTGACCTAAAACGTGCCTTCAGTGAATTCTATTTGAGTCTTGTTCGTTTGAAAAATTATCAGACTCTGAACTCTGCTGGTTTTTGGAGAATCCTCATTAAGCATGACAAGGTGATTAAATTGCTTGTAATCAGGAAGAAAATTTCATAGATCTATGTAATTTTCAAGTACTGGTAGGCTTACCATTACAGATTAAAATATTCTGCATTTTTAAAATAAAAGTTATCATGATGGGTGACTAGGCTGCTAACTGCTGACTCCTAGGCTGTTTCATTAAGCCTACAGATGAAATAATGAAGAGTTTTTAAAAATGCCTGCATAAATGTCTTATTCATTCTTAGCAAGGTGGATATGAAATTGGTTGTGTGAGCCATATGATATACCAGACATTTTCTGGAAAAGTAGCTAGTACTAGTAATATAGGGAGTCCATGCTGTTCTTGAGGCCATCATCATCAGTCTCTGGTAGGTTATCATCTTTTGCAGAATGCTAGCTTATACTCACCACATGTTAAGGCTTCCAAAAGTGTTCTAATTGGAAATTCAAATTTTAGATGTTTCAGTTTTCCTACAGGATTTTTCACCAACGTGAACATCCATTCAACATTAATATCCAACTATTCACTTGGCACTGTTTCATCAGGAGGCAAGATATGTTTGATGAATAATTAAATGTTTGGATATGTCTACATGTTTGATCAATTAGTTTCATTTAGAGACAGTTCCATAACATACAGTACATGTAGCTTTTGAAGACGGATGCTGGTGCCTGTTGGTACATGGGGCACGTGGAGCCATCGCACTTCCACACCAATCGAGACATCAACAGGATTATTTCAGAGACTGAGATTGTAGTGATCCAGGAACTGGAAGGGGGAAATCGAGATAGTGCCTTGAAGTGGCTGAGAGTTCCCTCCTTGGGTGAACATCGAAGTCCTTGGATCACGTTTAAAGTGGGACTTTTCCTTGGTGCCTTTGTCATCCTTTTCTGCTCCATTATCATATGCTGTAAGTGTGTGAGCTATCCACTCTTACTGGAATGTTTTGCACCATGAATTTGCACTTTTGATTTGTATCTTATGCTCTAAGTCTTCGAAGTGCAATAGATTGAATGTGGAAGTTTAAATTAATAGGTCTGATGAAGTAGCTGAACAACTGAAGTAGAAACAACAATCAAGAAGGATCATTACTGGTTCCTAATAGTCAGAATGAGAAAGGCTTGCTTTGCGCACTTGCATGCAGAGATGTACTAATACTGGTGATATTTACAGAAATTTGCCAGCATTATTTTATGTATCAAATGGAATGTGTTGGTTATCAGTGTGTGCTTTTCGAGACCAGAAACAAGATACGTCTTCATCAGTATTGAATGACTAGCAGGTCTGAAGGTATTGAAGTCATGCATGACCTTACAGAATGAGTGGCACTAAGAGCATTCTGGAAGGTGTGCCAAAATTAGTATGGAAGTACCAAGCAATATTCAGAGGGGTTACATGACAGAATTGAAATGCATATGCAACTTCATGCCATGCAAAATTTAACATTTGATGAAATAGAGGTAAATAGGGAAATCTGCTTGAGTCCAGAATTTTGAGACACCCTGTATAATTGCTGTATAATTGCACATGAAATCCACCTTGAAGGGAGATTGAACATATTTCATCTCAATTCATGTAAATGTCTAGTTTTCAAAGTTCTGAGGTTTCAGAGTATAAAGAATGACCTTTACTGTGAAAATAAAGGAAAAATTAGGTGAAACTACAAGAAAAAAAATTAATGAAAGAATTTTGACTTCACACGAGAGAGTAAAACAGTTGAAAGAAATCATCACATATAAGGCAAGGAAAGGATTGGGTGCTCAAGTGTCATGACTGTCGGAGTCCTTTCCATCCTTGATCCTCAAGTCACTTATTTTCTCAGAAATCATATGATTCACTTGGCTCATGTCCTTCTCTAGTTGGCCTTGTCTCATTTCAGGGTAACTCCACTGGAGTCATCACTGATATGCATCTGGCATGATAATGAAAGGAAATCCTAACTGTATTCCTGATAAACTTTATCTCCAGATTCTAATGTGTAAGGTACTTTCAGCATTTGGTGTCATGCAATGATATGTTGATGGTGGATGTTGGAGATATTATTGGTTTGAGATCGTGAAGCATCAGCAGAGAGAGCAGGGGAGAATCAAAGGCTAATTTGGCACCAGCTCCAGCCCAATGAGTCACTTAATTGAAAGTGGTGAACAATGGTTTAAGAGGGGTGGAATACCATCTATCTTTTTAAAATACCATTTTTCTTGCCTCCACCACTCCACCTCTTGCTTTACTGCAGATGCACCTGTAAGAGCCAATGTGAGAAACACCATTCAGTTCAGTGGATACATGGAGTGCACTTGGTTTCTTCACCTTGAAAAGTTTGATGGAGGAGTGTGGTATCATGAAACAACTGATATCCATCAACCAAGGACAAATGAAGTCCTCAAGAACATGAGCATAGCTCTGGAAATGAAGAGACCTATTACGGGAGTGAAAGGCCCTTCTGCAGTGATCAACCTCCCTGGATTTCAGTCCATCAAAAATGTGCCCCCTGACTTCATACACTTGAGTTGTGGCTTGAGGATACTGAAGCACCCATTCCCCAACACCTACTACATTGGGAACCCAACCAAAATGAGAATGATTGATGAACAACTTTGGTTGCAGGCACAACCAAATTGCATTGCAAGCAAAGCATCTGAGTTGAGAAACTGGCTTCTCCACTATGGCAATATATACCTTTCAGAAATTCTTCAAATTAAATATTTAAAGCATTTTCCCTTCTGTTTGATGCAATTTATTAGCTAACATTACATCAATTTGTTATTTCACTTACATATTGTATAAGTGAATGCTATAGTCATTGAAGAATTGCTCTTTGAGTATTTTGCAGGGGTGCAAGTCATTTGTGGAGAGCAAACCATTGTTTTCAATATCCACAGCCTGCTACTATTGGCAGTGCTGTTCTCCAGTGGGGTTCACTTAGGGGATATTCAGAATTTCTGTTTGAGGCAGCCATTGGGAAACATACTAGTACATCAAAGCTGGTAAAGGAGCCCCTCAGCAAATTAAAAAAAAATATTTAGTGGACTATTGGAAGGCTTCAAAGATGAGCATATTATTTGCCAGGAGGTTGCAGATTTCTAAAATAATCTGAACCAAGGACCCAAAGTAAAAAAATTTGCCAATTCTTGTCAAATCATTTTCATGGGAGGTGGACATGAGGTCTCAAACCACTGGAATACTGCTTCCATTAAGCCCAACCACCTCTTCCAAAGAATGGTATTTGTTGGAAGAAATTTCTCATGAACCAAATTTTTTTTCTTTCTTGGAGGTGGGCTAGACACAGGCTGCTGTTAAAGAGTAATTTAATGGTTGCATTTATGAGATTCATTATATATTCACTATTCACAGGCATGGGTATGCTATTGTCTGTAGATGGAATGCATGCAGGACTGAGATTCTGCCTTGTCACATTCAAGAAGTTCAGAGTTGGCACTTATGTGCTACTAGATGCATCAAGAATTCACAAGAAGTTAGTGAGGATCAGAAGCTCCAAAAATGAATTTTTTCTGTGGACAGTAACCCAATTGTGTTGAGTTCTCTTCATAGTGATCTAAGTTCCATCATGGGTGTAGGGAAGAAGATTCTTGGTCATCTACCAAGTTGAACCATGGTTTCAAGCTGTAGTATTTACACCCTGAGTGCTAGTGTGATAGTGTTGTAAGAATTATCTGTCTTGATATCACAATGAAGTTCAATATGGATTCATTACATTCATTCATAGGTTGAAAAAGGCAGTGCAAAAATGCTACCAAGTAATGCTTTTGTGAAGTATAAGGATGATGGAGAGCAGGATATTGCTCCAATTGGAGATAAAAATAAATATTATTTAGAGAATTATCAAGAAGTATTAAGAAGAAACAAATGTGTGTTCTGGCCACCCAATGATTGGGAACAAGCAGAAGAACCTTCTCAGGTGCTGGTGGTCCAAATCCTTCTACTCAAGGTGAGCAACAGGGATAATTTGCCTCAACAAGTTATATATCTTGTAGTTTTGATGCTGTATTCTTAATTTTTAAAATTATTCTAAAACCTCCATTTCACCAACAGAGACAAAGGAGGAACTACAAAGAGGATTAGTGAGGAAAGTTGAAAAACAGTTCCCCTGGTGTAACGTGAAGACCCAAGTACATCTTTAGAATGAAGCAACGAAAGGTATTTACACCATTTTTGACCACTCAGTTATTGGGGCAGCATAGAATGTGAATGGAAAGGAATGAGTGGATTCAAATTCTTGAGATTCTAATATTTGTTCAGATATCTTTGTCTTGCAGACTCGAAAAATAAACACTTCAGATATTCCTGGAGATGAGCAGGCTTATTATGATTGGGGTTCTTCAATTCAACAATAGAATTTCTTGAACTGGATCATTTTCATGTTCCTGATCATTTTCATTTCTGAAAGAAAAATAGAAGCCCACTCCTTGTGAACCAGATGTTCTGGATGTGGAGTTGAGGTAAATTCTTGCATGAAAATTTGTTTTAAGTCTCATCCTGAGTCATGGAAGAAGGAAAATTTCTTCCAATCAAGCAGGGATGGTATACACAAGGCTTTTTTCATGGTCCCACCTGCCAGCTTTCCAACAGGTAATGTGCATGGCACCCTGTTGCATTCATGATTGCCTCAATGAGCTTAAATGCATGTCTGCAATAAGTGCTGCTGATGCGAAAGTAATTTAGTTGCTGTCTGCATCATTCAATGGTCTACATATATGAAGCTTCACAATTCTGGGTTTGAAAGCTTCCTTCTTACTCCTTGGCATTAGATTCTTCATCTTTGGGATTTGGCGAGTGAGAACTGCCTTACTTGTACCTGTATCTTAATTGGTGCCTTGCAGCACAGAAGCAATTTAATAAGCTTCTTGAATAGAGCAACATTGTTGACTGTATACTTGCAGAATCAGTTAGTAACAAGAAAGGAATTTTTTTTTTTCCTTTTCATGAAGGAATATTTTTGTGAATTTTTTATATATAGTCGACTCCACTTATTTGAATATTCCACTTAATGGAATACCATTTTTTAACCATAAGATACATTGTTAAAAAAATTGTATTAAGGAATGCAGTTATAAAAATTAGGACATTTTATTCCCACTTATGCTAATAAAATTTTCTGAAATTTGAAATAATTTATTTTTATGCCCAGCACCACCCTTGCTCCAAGGAGCCAAGGTTATGAGCATTTGTCACTTTACTTTTTTAAAGTGGTATAGATATGAAAGCCAATGGAGAAAATAATAAAGGAATTTTAAAAATAAAAGTTATAAACATTGTAAAGAAAAATAGCTAATGGAAATTGTAACATGTATATATTGAAAAGTGCACAGAAATATAATATGTACAAAATAAAAAAGAAATGCAAATGCACAATAACGGATATTGAGGAAAAGTTGGACAGGAGAGAGAAACTATGAGTGCAAAAAAGTATTAAAACAGCTTTTAAGAAATGACTAATGCAAAAAGAGGGTGCTGCACTCAGGTGAGAAATTCTGACATCCCTTCACTGTCATCATGAAATAGATAATTTTCACATCTGTACCATTAAAGAGAAAGTTTCTCTAACCATCCTTTTACTTTTTTAGACTGGACATTGGTGCAATTTGGTTGAAACGAGCATATTAGATCATTTGTTACATTCAAGTTTATTGTGTAAACTTATGACCAAGTCAGAATTTATCACAGTGACCCTATATATATTCAAGAGCCAGAAGTACAAATAAGAAATACAGTCCATGAGTTTCATTCTTTGGAATACTTTGGATTATTGAATGTAGTTCACTGGTCCCTGGAATATTCTATTATGCAGAGTCGACTGCAATTATTTTAAATGATTCAATTTGAGAGGTGATATTCAGACTCACAGAAACACCTCGTATTGAAGCAATACCCATTATCTATGGAACAAATATTTTTTAGGTGTAATGTAAGTGTCATATCCTTAATATTATTTTGCATATATATTTTATTTCAGCTGTATTTCATGATTGGGAGCGTGACAATTGGCGGATTGCTGTACGTCTCTATAGGGGACCTCTTCTCATCATCCTTTTCATTTTCCTTCTGGGCATTAATGTCTATGGATGGAGATTATCTGGTGAGTCCTCATTGCAAGTTGGACTTCTTTCTCTTGATAGGTTAAGGAGTTCATAATTCAAGACATCCTGATTCAAACCTCAAATGGAATTTTTTTTATTAGTAAAGGTGAAATTCTGCTGGGTCAAGGCAGAGTGAAGTTGAGAAATTTGTTACACACTATGAGTTATTTATGACTTTAGTTTGAACTACCTTTCAGGTTATGCTTGCAGGCAGTAGTTTTTCCAGAAAGAGGACAGCATTACAACACAATTTTAGTTCTCATTTCAAATTTAAAAAATGGATTTGGTTTGAGTGGCTATAAAGCTCCTGCTCTTCCTTGGGTCACTTAGCCATATGTGAAAATGTTAGTTTCTCATCAGCTGAAGCCACTCCCTTCCCTTCTAAATTGAATTACACGAACAACAGCTGTTTCAGCCCAGATTTCTTTCCTTTGCAGGGGTGAATCACGTGCTGATATTTGAGTTGAATCCTCGTAGTCACATATCAGAGCAACATTTGATTGGAATTGCTGGGATGCTTGGAGTCTTTTGGGCTCTGTCTGGATTGGGGTACTTGTTCAGTGAAAAACTTCTGATCCCAAGATATGTTTATCCCTCCATGCTGATTGGGATCATGTTCCTGTTCCTTGTTAATCCCACTCACACTTTCATGCCTGATGCTCGCTTCTGGCTTCTTCACAGCTTGGTATGTAATTATTTTCATGAGACACTTCTAACACAATTGTTGGATCAGTGCATCTCCTTCTTTGCAGTGTCGTGTGATCTGTGCACCTCTCTTCCATGTCACCTTTGTGGACTTTTGGCTCGCAGATCAGCTGAACAGCCTTGTTCCTGCTCTTCTTGACCTGGAGTATTTCATTTGCTTCCATGCCAATGGGTATATGGATGCAGCTGATCAAAGTGAGATAAAATATCCTGTCTAGCAAAGGTGCAACTTTTCTGGGAAGTAACTACATGAATTAGCAAATCTATGAGCACATGTTAACATCAGAAAGCCAATACTCTGAAGGAACTAGCTTGAGTTGTCCTTGTATGAAATTTAGTTGATTACCATTGGTCTCAAAGAGCAGTTTTGCTAAGTGAGAATCTTGGAAAATGGCCTTTGCCTTCTTGTATTAATAATTTTTGCAAGTGGACTCTTCATATTCACTTTTTTTTACCTAAAGACCTCTCCCAAAGGGACCTTTATTTGGAGCTACATCAGAATACAGGCTTATGTTCAAATGTGTATCCGTGATAAAGAAGAGCCTGATGCATGATTTTCAGGTGCTGCTGCAATGATTGCCATGAAAATATTGTAAATAGATGTGTCAATTGGCAAATGTGCCTTGACTGAAAAGGCAGCCATATTAAGCTGTGACAATGAAAAATAATTTTTTTTTTCAGAAAATATCAGTTTTCACTCCTTGTTCTGAGTTCAAACGACAGCCCTGCTCATCTGACCTTGAGAAAACTTCATTTCTTATCTGTCCATGACTTCTTTTGTCATACTGTATAACTCCTGGCAAAGTGAAGGGTGTTCTTGTATTTCCAGTAATGGAACCCATTAAAGGAGAAAAAATAATTAAATCTGTGGGCAAGTGAATGATCAGATCACAAGAGTGTCATTTTTGAATGTACAAAGTGTGGCCCATAATCACCAAAAAAAATTTACCAGTGGATCAAATTTGTGAAAATATTATTGCTACTGATTCTCAATACTCTTGCTGGCCTAAATCATGATGTCACTTTAGCATGTACCAGGCTTGTGAAAAATACCTCAGGATGCTCCCTTTTCAATGGGAAGGCATACATTAGCACCCTCTCCCATTTCACAGGAGAGCAAGATTTAATGTCATGAGTGTCAGTTCATTCTGGCTTGCAAACTGATTGTCCTGATGATGCACCCTATCACCATTCTTTATCACAAGAATCATTCTAGAGTATGTTGATGTTGACCTCGTGTTATATGAAACATTTGATGGCTCTTTATCTTTTGAAAAACTTTTGGAAAAATTTGCCTGCATGCCATCCATTCTTGATCACTATTAATCCTGCTGCAACAGTGGATATGTGAGGGTTGTTCTGAAAGTTTTTAGTTAAAGAAAAAAGGCCAATAATAACAGTAGTTGAAGGCCTCCCAGATCAAGGTTCATCTTCTAACTGAACTTGCCTGCGTTGAAATTCTCAAAACCAATGGCTAACTGTTGATAATGAAGGAGCAAAGTCACCAAAAGATACCACAAAATTTTTGTGACATTGGTGGAACATCAACTGCCATCTGTAATCATAGAAAATCATCGCTCGAAAAGCACTTTACGGCACGTCCATCGCGTTAGTGGGGTAGCAGCAAAGTGATAAGTTTTGATCGCATCAGCAACTTTTATAGACTGATGATGAGACTTTGACTATTTTCAGAAACATTTGGGAATGGATTGTTCTTTCACCTGATAAGACTCATTTTTATATTGTACCATTATATATGATGTAACTAAGAACTTTCAGAACAGCCCTTATATATATAAATTATTTCATATTTGCAAAGTTGGAAATTGTGCTGTTCTTTGAAATAGGTGTATGCATAAGCAAGACTTGGGGAATGAGACCAATTGTGGCTTGCCTCCCTGCTTGGTTTCGGTTTGCTCAGTGCCTCAGGCGGTATCGAGATACCAAAGAAGCCTTCCCACACCTCATCAATGCTGGGAAATACTCAACAACCTTCCTCGTGGTGCTTTTTTCTACTCTGAACCAACTGGACCCAAGTGAGTCCTCAGATATAGCACCACAATTGAACCTGTGCATTGGTTAACTGGTGTGCAGATTATCCTTGCACAGCAAAAAATCCAATTCAAGTCCAAGTCAAATTCACATTCAATTTAATCCAATTTTATTTCTACAGTTTAAATCAAATTCAGCCACCCTTTGCAAATATAAAACTTTTTTGGAGTGTTTTTGTGTTTCCTTATCTGGTGAGCTACTTCCTTTTGTTGGCATGAATAATCAGGGTTCTGCTTCTGCACCTACATGTAGAAAGACACACGGTTCATCGTGTCTTTTTTTTAATCATTAGTTTCCACTAACTCATTAATGGAAAAGAAGACATGCTTTCACAATGTAACTCATGCCTGACTCTGAAGCAAACCATACATCTTCTTAAGTAGATGATGAGAGTATGACATCTCTTATTTGACTGAACCACAGCCTTCAACCATTTATAGTCAATAATCAACCTATTCTTGATCTTGCTGAGATAGTATCTGAAGAGAATTTTGAGTCATCCAAGGGTGAATGCCCAGTGCATGAAGTTGCATCAAGCAATAGGTGACTCTTCCCTGTATTACAGAGGTCCCGTTAGGTGATGTTCTTTTTCCATTTCTATGATTGAAATACTGTTGAAAGTTCATCCTAATACTATGGAACACTTATTTTTTCATTCATGGCTTCAATATAATCACTACCCTTTTAAGATTAATCACCTGAACACAGGAGTTACAAAGAATGTATATGATGCAGTCATCATGTCTTCAATATTGAAAAAAGATCTGGATGTGTATTATGAAAAGTTGACTGCCATCTCATAAGTTATACCTGAAAAGAAATAGTCCATAGTTGGTTTTGGATAATGCTGAACTTCAAGGCTTTTCTGTGCTGGTCTTGACAAAAATTACTCAAAGAACTTGCATGGTTTCTATTTAAAGAGGAATGTCAAAGTTCATTATGATTGAACTTTTTTGCAATCAGTATTGCAAGATAATGATTCGTTATGAGTTCTCTTCCATCTAGACTCAAATCAGGTGCAACACAATTCGTTTTTCTCCCTGTGGATCCTTGCTTCCATCCTGAGTTCTCTTTATACATTCGCTTGGGATATCAAAATGGATTGGGGATTGCTTGACAGCAATGCTGGAGACAATAAGTTCCTTCGTGAAGAAATTGTATACACCTCGCCTGTAAGTCAGAAGATGCCTTTAAAGGATCACAGGATTTTATGAATAGCATCCTCTTTGCAACATCCTTTATTCATGTTCAAGTGTGGCTCTGTTACTGTGGAAAATGGGAATAAGGACAGCGAGAGACTACAATTTGAAGTTAAACCTTAGTTGAATTCATTGTAATTTAGCAATTTATAGTGATTTAGCCATAGTTTCCTTATGATCTCACAGCATTTAACTCCCTGTGAACTTTACTATCCATCATTCTGTATTCATAATATGTCATCTTTCTACTTTCCATTAGAACTTCTATTACTTTGCCATGGGTGAGAACTTCATCTTGAGGATGGGATGGGTCATATCTGTCTCTTTGACTGAAATGGGACATGTCCATGGTGATCTCATGGTCACAGTTCTTGCTCCTTTGGAAGTCTTCAGGTGAGCACACTTTCATGTGATTTTTTGGAGTCTTTTAACATAATTTTTATTGATGAAATCACCATTTGTGGACTAATGTGTGTACTCAGCTGTTCGTTCTGTCATTGGTTCAATGACCAGGCATATTTGTGCTTGCACTGTTTAGATGCTTCTGTTTCTGCATGCCTTTTGGTTTGCTTATGCTTGAGTACCCCTTTTCCTTGCTCTATCTCCTCAAGCAGACGCTTCATTTGGAATTTCTTTCGGCTGGAGAATGAATTTGTTAGTAACTGTGGAGACTTCAGATCCAAGCGAGACGTCAAGTTCTACGAATCCATCGAGAGTTCCTCATCCCACGAGTGCGAGTGTGATGACTACATGTCCAACTTGGAGACCGAGGATGAGCTCTCCGATTGAGTGCACTTGGAGGTTGACATAGAGCTCATGCCGCCTGTGTTGTCTTGCTTAGTCGTTTGTTCTTCCGAGAGTCTTTCAGTGCTTTATTTGATTGCTTTATTACCGATTTATCGAGTTCTTCAAATTCTTCCTTCAGCCATTTTCAGCCTATATTCATTGTTTCTTTGTTGCATTCTGTTGTATTTGTTCGCATTATGCTGCTTGGGGACTGAGCCACTGCCTTTCATGAATATGTCTGTGATTCACCCTGTGATTCACTCAGCATGATCCATAGATAGCTATGGTCACCCAACCCAACCCAAGCCCTATGACAGCCTGGAGTTGAAGCCAAATCTCGCCAGGAGATGGTGCATTGATACTTAGCAGGCCCATGACTTCATCTCCATTGTGTGAAAGCAAAATTTCCTTTCTATCTCAGATTATGCACTATAGCACACTAATTGGAAGGTATGTAAATTTTGCTCAACATCGTGAACAACTCCGTAACCTGAAACTTCACACTCAGACCATCACTAACTAACAACTTGTAACAGTGTGCCTGTCGTTGGAGCTTATTTAACCACCATGCCATGGCATACTCTTTAGTTTATTGCCCAATGTTGAATCTCAATCTTGTCCAGGCCCTATAGACCTAGGACCTATCGGAGTTGAATGGATTCAGTCAACATTTCAGAAGAACATTATGCTATGATATCATGTAACTAGACCTAACTTCGCCCCAGAATTCAGCAAGAGAGGCTTGACTTCAAGTTGGTTTTTTCATGCATTCCCTGGGCTGCCATCTCATTTAATGGCTCAAAATGGTAGAAATTTGCTCTTTATTAGATGGCAAAGTCAAAGTTATGAAATCCTTTTTCCTGAGGAACAGTAGATATTTAAACAAATATTCAGCACATGAAAAGAACCAAGAGGGACCAACTAGGAAAACCAAGTGCCTGGGTTATACAATGGGCGTATTGACTAAAGCATGGATTGTGCTAAATACCATCTACAGTGTTTTCGCCTTACTAACACATTTTTTCACTTGACTCGGGACTCTCATACATGAGTTTCCAAGTCAAGCAAAAAAAACTCCAGAAGCCCGGCCATTCGCTTAGGAAAACCAGCATAATCCAGAAAGAACCCCAGATGCAGGAAAGCCTGTTGCTTTTATGACGGCAATATCCAAGCCCACTGCTGCTGTCACTGCCATCTGGCAGGAGTTCGGGTCCCCAATCGACCGCACGGCCCCCTGTGACCACATGCGTCTATGAATCATGCTGACATAATGCTTTTTTTGTAGTTTATGATCCAATCCTCTCATGTCCCCATGCCCCTCTCAAGCTTTGCAAAGCCACTTTTTAATGGAAATGGATTTAATAAAATCCTCATTTTGGAATGTATCAAAAACCAATATCACCTTAATTACCCAATAATTACCTCACCTTAACCACCGTGTGAGGCAAAATAACTCCATTGAAATTCTGTGACGCCTCTGAAACGGCCGCAAATCAAATTTATTTTTAACAAAAGCTACTGGAATTTTATTTCCCGCTAAAATTCAGAATCCGCTGGGCAGATTCCTTTACGTCTGGAAATTTGCACATGAGATTTTTGCATCCCTGGATCATCATCTCGGGGAACAATGACTCGTGAAAACGGTTTCCTTCAGACGAACCAATTTCTCGCAATCGATTTCTTCACGATAGGTCTACATTTATTTCATCCCTTACCAGAAAACTATTGCAAAATTATTGCCCCTGCACATCCTTTTCCCAGAGAGCATTTTAATTGGCAGAGGTCGGTGATGTTTCCTCACGCAAATAAAATTCGAGTTGTTTTCGCGCTGTCGCTCGCGTGGAAAAACCACTGGAGAAAAATTAGCAAGTTTCGGACGGTTAGAGGATACGTAGAAATCGTTGCAAAATGTTTACCACGTTATCTGCTGTCTCATGAACATAGATTTGCCTCGCGCGTAAATCATTTGTGGGTGTACCAGTACATGACCTCGTTACTCCTCGTTACTCATTATTCAGTTTGAAGAGTAGCGAGTATGTGGGTCACGCACGGTTTCGGGAGAGATAGGTGTCCCTAGGCACCTATCCGATAGGTGCCTCAGGGTTACCCACGACGCGCCAGCCAATCTTCCCCATTTGGAGTTGGCATCGCAAAAATTTTAGTCAGATTAGATGAAAAGGTCGACTGTAGGAGGAACTTCGAAGTGGCTTGAAAGAAGCCATAAATCGACAAGTTTTCAATTTGTCATTTTCCTCCCTGTAATTGACAAATCGTCAATCGTATTCGGCAATCCTCATCATCCAATTGACGATTGCCAGCGATTGACTTCGCCCCGATCCTCGGCCTCATCGCGACAAGCCAAGTTCGACGACGACGACCACCCATTGAGCGATCGTTTAAATATCACGCAAGAGCGGAAAGAACCCGAAAGGAAGGTGTTGCGAAGCGTGGCGGCCATATTTGGTCCAGAAAAGGGTCCGGCGTCCCGGCTTCATGCTTTGCCTCTGCTTACCTCAAGGACGTGTCCACCTGGAATCCAATTGACTCCAGGTGAGACGCGAACGTATAACACGGATTTCAGCGAGGCAAATGCGACCGTAGATCGTGCAAAAACGTTTACGAACTCGAGCCGGTTTTTACCATCGGGATTTCGAAATATCAGAATTCTCTTCGGGGATCGAATATATCAGGCAAATAATTTTTCTTCACCCTGTGCTACGACGTAAGGCTCGAGTCGCATGTACGCCAGGGTTACTCAAACTCGAATCACGGAAATGTCATTATCATCGTGTCATAATCAGTCTGCATGGCATTCCAGACCGATCTCTGCAGAAAAACGAATGGAAAGCTCGACCGATGCAGAAATATTCCATTTTTGCACCACAGAGCGCTCTCTTCCATCTCGTTGGGCGAGCACGAAGGGGAACGACACGAGGAGGACGCTGCGTTTTTCCGTTTCCGCGAATTTGTTTCATGGATTTCAGGGAATGAGTTCCGCCCCCCACGGTCTATATATGGATAGTTCAATTGTTCAACACTCCTCGAAGCAAGCGCATTTCAAGGCCACGAGACGAGGGGATTTTCCGTTTCGACAAAGCGAGTCTGCCACATCTCGCATGGGTTCATCAGATCGCGAGAGGCGTCGGCGAGCAAACGGCGCTTTTCCCCTCCAGAATGCGGCTTCAGCCGTTGGCAATAAGGGCTGGAATGACGGAAAGGATGCGCACGCTCTCGCGTTCAATCCCTCGCGCCATAAAAACCGCCGTAAAAAAAGCAGCGGCGAAGCGTAGAGGGACGAACCCTTCCATCTTCCCTCCATCGCCCTGTCGAAACTCCTTCTTCAATCCCCACGATTGATATACCGAATCAAAGGAGACAAAGAGAGCTTTCCAACCATATAGAATTCATCGCGATCGCAACAGGAAATCCCGAACAACGAACGAGAAAAGAAATATCTCAAGCTTGAACGAAATTTTTCTGGATGGTGCGACATCCCAACGTGCCATCCCAGCCATTACCGCGGATCCTGTTTGCCCCGGTCGATTGCCTGGTTTTTTTCCTTGCAATTCGGCTCTGTCTCCTTCGTGTCCAAACGCCCCTCCGTCCGTTCCCCCTTTCGGAGCGATATTGCACCCGGCAATATTGCAGCGTGCAATTTCCAGAGGGCCGAACCGTTTTTCCGATTCAGAAATGCGGGTCCATTTACAGAAATGTTAAATTTTCATGGCAATCCTCGCAACAAAAAAATCCTATAGGATTTAAAAAAAAAAAAACATTTTTATGTCTCAGGACTCATAAAATCCTATTGTGCAAGAGTTTCCTCTTTCAATAATCCCTATCAGATATTTACGCTCCAAAATCCTCCAGGCTTTCCGCCCACTTCCACCACGCACGGAACATTGAACGTCAAAGGCCCCTGCAAAAAAAAAAAAAANAAAAAAAAAAATAAAAAAAAAAGACACAAAAAAAAAAAAAAAAAAAAAAAAACTTCGGTCCAGATTCTCTCAACATCGCAAGGTCGAAGCTCCAAAGACGGACGAAAAAAAAAAAAAAAAATCAGAGAAAACGCGCAGTGCGATATTCCTTCCGCGCAGAAGCGCCGCGAACCGACGCCAGCCCACCAACCGCGCACCCAAACGACCAACAAGCGAGGAAATAACGCCAACGGACGATCAAGAAAACCCGTTTCCCGCCGCGCGCGACTCTCCTCGTCGAATCCGTCACGTCCCTTCGCGACTCCGACCGAGCCCGGCAACTCCTTCACTGACTATTACTTCATTTTATTATTGTATTATTTTATTGTTTTATTTATTTAATCATTTTATTTATTTTATCAGTTTATTACTTATTACTTATTAAATTGCGTATTAAATTTCATTTATTTTCAGGGAGGATATAAATTAATTCGGACTGGAAAGGGTTAAAATTGCCAAGCAGGCAACTGCTCTCTCTCTCTCTCTCTCTCTCTCTCTCTCGACCGTCAATGGAGGCATTTTTTTCCCCCCCTGGATTTTTGCGATACGAGTCAAGACGGAGAGAATTCCATGTGGAAAATGTCTTCATCTACACGAAAGGACTTTCTCGAAGGAACCTTTCGGCGATTCGTGGGAAGAGGATCTTCCGTTGGAATCGTATGCAAGTTCGATCCGATTGTGTGATGATGGTCTAAGAGATTATCCAAGTCCTTCGAGATTTAGCGATTTGCCGATTGGGACGCCATAGGTCCTAACGAAAGCCTTTGCATGCCTGAACGTCGAATTGGACCTTTAGATGATCTTTGCAGAGCTCATCGCTTCAATTGAAAGGGTTTCCCATGGATCCAAGCGGAAGTCGAAGACGATGAAGAAAAAAAAAACGGTGCCGAAAGAAGCGTAATCGATATAAAAACGCCGCGTCTCCATCCAACACCCTCCACATTCGCCCACCGCTCACGAGTGATCCGAGCGGAGACAACCCTTCGTGCTTGAGGAATGAGAATTGGACGTGGGTGGGAGGGCGCCTTCTCATCGGGCGACTTTTCATGTCGGCCTCCATTATGGTCAGGCGAACGACCTCCCGGTGGAGGCTTCTCGGCGACCCCCGGATGCCCTCCCGAGCGAGTCCGATCGACGCAAACCCGACCCGAATCCGCACTCGATCACGTGACTTGCCCGCGAGCGAAGATTATTCGGGATTAAGATTCGGGATTAGAATCCCCCGTCGGATTCGGAGCGATTCGTGCTATTTCCCGCGGGATGTTGGCAGGGAAATCAGCATATTCACATTTTGCCGACTTTCTCCCGATTCTCCCTTCGTGGAGCTCCCCGCCAACCAACCGATATTTTTCCCCACTTGACTCTCATCAGAGCCCAAGGCCCAAATCCTCCCTGCAGCACACTGAGGTTGCCAGTATAGAAATGGATCGACTGAAAATCCACACAACCGGGCCCAGATACATACGCGTCGAGAAAACACAATCCCTTCCACGAAAACGATAGAAACAATAGAAACATCACGCTTCAGTAGTCCACATCGCCCCGCGCCTGATCGCCAGGATGAGCGGCACGCCCCCTAGTAGATGATGGAGGACGGAGCATGCACTATCGAGGCGGTGAGAGGAAACTCCAGCGGCGCTAACGAAGCGGGCCTGGAGGTCCTCGTCGCCGCCCAGCCACCCGCCAGCGTGCGAGGAATCGACGAGTGCCACGCACGACCCCGACCGCACCGCGTGCTAACCGGCATGGCAGCGCATCGGAAGCTGAAGAATCTCCTCCTCCTCCTCTTCCTCCTCGGGTCCGTCTTCCTCCTCTTCCTCCTGACCCGGCCGGATCCCTCCGTCCCTGTCTTCCAGGCCGTGAGGCCATTCCGCGGACTTCAGGTCGAGGAAGTGGACGCGCATTCCCTCGAACCGCCTCGGCCGTCGACCGAAATTCCCCCGGATCCTCCCGTGAGTTTTCATTTTTTTTTTTTAAGTTTCCTCTTTATACCTCAGAATACTCCTGTCGGAATTTTATTTTCCCTCATATCTCTAATCACGGCGAGCGCTTCCGTCAAAACCGGCCTTATCTAAGGGTCCTTATCTCTTCAAACTGCTTCATTCTCGAACCGGGGGGAATACTTTATGGAAGCTGGAGTGATTCTATCAGTAACGCGCGGTTCAAAATTCCTCGATCGTGAGTCAGTAAATTTTTTTTTTTTTTGAAAGCTGAAATCGAGAAAAGGCCGCAGTTTCCTACTCTCATTTCAACGGGGGATTTTTTCGCACGACGTTCGCCATCTGCGCCGTGCGGAATCGATGCATCGCGATCGAGATCGGGGCATTTCCACAGGGTCGAATGCGGCCCTGTGGGAATGCCGAAGAAATCGGCGAATCGCGGGTTCTTCGTGTCCCTCTTTCTCATCATTATAATCGAACGACATTATTATCATAATAATGAAATCATGACATGCTGAATCTCGCACGAATGGGAATTTTCAAAATTAAATAATACTAAGGAAAGTACTTCGAATGGTACGGCGACAATCCCTCTGAAATCACATCGTCGTTGACAACGATCATGACAACGATCATGACAACGATCATGACAACGATCATGACAACGATCATGACAACGATCATGACAACGATCATGACGTCACGTGCACCGGTGCAACACGAACAATCTCACGGCGACTCGCCCGTGTCATCGGGTTCCCTGCCCATAACGAGCGGGTCTGCCGCCGATCATCAATTCACCTCGTCAATTGTCGGCTTGCCACCAATTATCAATCGATAATTGATGGTCGATCAATCCCCCAAGCCTCAACTCGCCTTTTCAAGCCTAATTCCCCCCAAGAGCTGCAAATAAAATTTACCCGCCTTTTTACGCTTCTTTCCCATCATAAATGAGAATGCCGAAACTCCCACGAGCACGCATCGACGCATTCGATACAATTGATGCATTCAATGCAATTGACGCATTTGATGCAATTGACGCATTCGCTCAATCAGCTTCTGGATCAACTAAATATTGACCTGACTCGCTTTCCGCTTTCTTTCACCTCTGGATCGCTCGCAACTCGGGCACGTGGCATGGGACACGTATGCATGAATACGATGGCCAGGAAATCGATAAGACAAACAGAACCTGCCATCGTGCGATATTAATGTACGACTAATGATATTGATATTGGTCGTGTAATGTTTGGGATGAAGTTTTGTGTGAGAAAGGGCGGGGTTTTTCATTAATGTTATTAATTCCTTCTCGCATTCCATGAATGATATAAGAGTGTAAGTGCTTGCACCTATCGTTGGCATGCTTTCCCGGTTGCCAATTGGTCGAGCTGCCATGCCTGACATCTGGTGGGGAAATGCTTCATTAGCTCGATTGCCAGACCGGAATTTCAACGGCTACATTAATTGACTTTGAGATTTCCTTTTAAAATGATCTTAGTAGCGTTTCCTCTCTACGTGGGAAAACTAGGGCTGTGCCGATGTATCGTCATCCACCGGTATCGGCCGCCGGTGTTGCATTATCAGTGCCATCGGCGATCGGCAGGGTTGCAAGTTGCTGATGCCAATATCGATGCAAAACGAAAAAATATCGATCAGATTATAGGAGAGTATTTCAGCCCGATTGAAGGAACCGACGGAGAGAAACAGAGCAGGAAATTATTGCTCTTTCCTTTATGTTATGCTTTTGCGAGGGATGCGCCGGTTAAACGCTCTTAACCTTGCACTACGTGGAGTGCCAGACACGGCACGCTCTGCTTTGCATTGAAACGTATTAAAATACAATGGAAAAACCAAAATGAAATGATAATTTTTTCCCTATTTTTCTCACCAACATGAAAAAAAGATCGTCAAAAATGTTTTTGTTACGAAAAAAAATGCATTGTAGGGTTAATAGCATCAAAAGGTAAGAAACTAACCTCTGACGGACACTTAGACAGATTGGACATGACTGGCTGGAAAGGGCTAAAAGTGTTCTCTATCGTATTAAGGAGGCTCATTGAAATATATAATAGCTTCCAAAGAGGCCAATTTGAATTATTGTGCGATTTCATGTTACATTCATCTCAATCTACAGACCACAATCGGCACCGGCCGATGGGTATGAGATCAAAATGCGGCCCTCGGAAAACCCCTAGGAAACTCAATTGCGTATAGATTGTGGGGAGTCGAACGGCTGGCAATGGATGATTTCACACAGGCTTCGAAGCTTACAATAGAGATATATTTCACATTTTCTCATATCATTCCAGCGAAAATGTCAAACCTCGATCATTCGTTAAAAAAGCGAAAAGGCATTTCTCCACGCCCTGTTCATCCAGGCGGAGGACATAGACACGAGAACGGCGAGAAGGAGAGAGCGGATAGCAGAAACATGTCGGAGGCATGACCTCGGGAAGCACAAGCGGAGACCCGGACTTCCCGATCGGACGAGGGAGCCGCCGTTCCCCAACTTCCACATCTTCTACTTCTACCCGTACGATTCCTAAATCCGATTGCCTCCACGCCGGATACGAGTCAAAAGTGCATGTTGGATTTTGCGAATTGAATATTGAATAATGGAGATTGCATAATATTGTCTCGCAGGAAGGAGCGCTTGGCCTACTGCCCCATCTACAAGGCCGGATCGACGACGTGGCTGTGGTTCATGTGTCAGTTGGCCGGGGTATCCAATGCCACTTTGCGGTCCAGGCAGATATCTGAAGTCGCCAGGGACACTTTCCCTGAAGTCCTCCTGCCCTGGAATGCTCGCAGAGTCAGATTCTAATTGCTGTTCATCCCGATTGAAGGAATAGAATACTTATTTTGAATCGCAAATTTTTTGACGAGGCTGAAGAGAGTCTTGGTTTGGTGCGAACTGATTAAGTGGGGGGTTCTAAGGAATTTGGCATACGCTGGCATTGGTTCCCATTGGGACTTGACTCGTGTCCCTCAGCCAACACGGGTTCAGTAATAAATGAGAAGTCGCATTGTTGTGACCTAGCGATCAATTCAGAGCCATCTTGATATTCTGTCATTGGTCCCAGTAACTTCTGCTTTCAGACCACCATTACACCATTTAAATTCCTAAGGTGTTGCAGTACGAGTGCAAAACAGGTCGTAGTAGTGAGCTTTAACCCTTTCAGTGCCAGAGTCGATTAGATCGAAGCACGATCTAGCGCTCTGACGAAAGATCTTTTTTAACACTTTTGTGCCATCTTTTAGGCTGTGGCATTTTCAAGTGCAATTAGCAACAGTGATTCAATCAACTCCGGAACGAAAAGGGTGAAAGATCCCTTGGTTGTGATCAAATTGAATTTTATTGCTGCAATATAGATTTTCAATGTGAATATCTTTGGGAGTAACTGGAACATTTTTTTTTTAATATGATATATTTCATTTTTGTTCTATCCCCTTACTCCGATGAAGCTTCTTACTATTCTATAAGTATTCCAGAATTCCTCAAAGGCTCTTTTTTTTTTCAAGGGATTCCATGGAAACTAAGAAACGTTTCCCATTGTAATTTTCTTAGAGACGTAGACAGGATTGTACAAGCGCGAAGAAGTGCGTTAGGAATTGTTATTTCGTAAAACCGCAGTTAAGCGAAACGGAATGCCAGCGCGCGCATAGTCTGAAATTTCCAAAGTGACTGACTGCATGGTCGTCAGCTTCTTTCGGGTGCAAATTCTTTGGGGTTCTCCTGTCCTCTCTCCCGAAAATTTTTTACATCTCTCCATCATTTCATTCTATTTCGGGCAATTGTTTCCTCATAGTTGATGGAGAAGTCGTGGAGCGTGATGATCGTGAGGCACCCATTCGAGAGAATCCTCTCTGCCTACCGGGACAAACTGGAGAACAGTTCCATCGGGCACGAGCACGGGACCTTGTTCTACTACGAACGCTTCGGGAAGAATATCGTTAAGCGTTTCCGTCGCGAAAACGTGACCCACCCGGAGCCAACGTTCGCGGAATTCGTCGAGTACCTCACTCGTACCGACCTCCTCCTCTACTCGGACGAGCACTGGGTCCCCTACTACATCCAGTGCACCCCGTGCCTCCTCGACTTCACCTTCGTCATCAAGTTGGAAACCTTCCAGGAGGACATGGCTGGATTCCTCCGGAAGACGGGCCTGGACTACGAGGACGTTCCACGGAAGCACGTTACGTCGACAGGACCTACCGGGGACGTGGCACGGAAGTATTTCTCAACCCTCTCCAGGGATCTTATGCTCAGGCTCTACGAGACTTATCGGATCGACCTCGAGATGTTCGAGTATTCCGTTCAGCCTTACCTTCAACTCTTTCCTGACCTTACCTCTTCGTGATCGTAGGAAACGGTGCTGTGATAAGAATCGAAACGACGGGAGGATGCGTTCATTATTCCCGTCCTTAAAATCCCGCTCAGCGAAAACTTTTACGTTATGCGAAATGAAACTTTTTACCCCCAAATTGGCGAGCTTTTCAGTGATATGAAGAGGAAAGAGACCGAGCAGAATTCAGTCAGATTCTCCTTCCATCATCGTCTGAAGATATTATAAGAGATTCCAAGTTATTTATTAAAGCAAATTATTTCTGAAATCTGGTTCCATTTTCGCTCCACCCTGAGATCCAACTATATTATTAGGAAGTGATACGTTCTATTCCTATCATCCTGTTAACGCACACATGCCCTGACAATTTTTTTTTGGCCGACCATGTTGACGATTGACTGTGCACCTTCAACGTAGACGATGATGAAGGCGCACTTTACCAATTGACGACATTTTTGATTTATTGACAGTTTTCGAGAAAACCCCGCTATTCTCGATGGTTTCCTGGGAATTCTTTCACAGGAAAATAAAATCGGATTTCACTGGTCGCCATTTCGACGATCAAATTTTTTTACACGAGAAATCGTGGAAAGCGGCGAAGAAACACCTCACGAAGCCACGCTTCATCAGCTCTCGAGACAGACAAGCGGATTCCCTGCAGAGACGCAGGGCATCGGGGATCGGCGAGGCGACACTCGAGCGGCTTTCGTCTCCCGATGGAGAATGAGCGCGAACGCGGATAGCCTCGTGGGGGCTGGGCGGATAGGAATCCTCGCTTAACGCGTCGTTGGACGCCTGCATTGTAGCTTGAGATCCCAAAAACACTCATGCTTTATTTACAAGTGGGCTCAGCTGTGATAGCATTCCATGTCAAATCAGTTATGTCCTGCACGTGTTCCCACTGATACAGTGCTATCAGATATATAGACGACTATTGCCGTCTTGTCCCACAGAAGGCTTGCAAGAATGACTGCTACGGCCCTCTCGCCCGCCAACGTGTTAAGACGGCGAATCCATTGCCGTCGCATTCTTCCATCCGCGCCACCCCGTGGTCGCGAGGCGCACGCGCGGGATTCGCGGCAGCGAGATTCACTTCTCGAACGCATTTGGTCGCGGTTTGTCCGCCGACTCCCGCGGCGCTGAATTTCTCACCTTAAAAGCAGAATTAATTGCAAAAGAAACTTCTGTCGAAGCCAGGCCTCTCTCGGAAGTTCATCACAAATGATAAATTTATCTCTAAAAACATATATATGAGTTAAAAAAAAGAAGTTATATACCTTCCATATTACCTTTTCCTCATCAAACAGAACGTAATTCAGAGGCCTTCTACAGTGTGTTCAATTTAAAACGCAATCCAGCAACGATCACGTACAAAAATGTTTTTTTCTTCGAGAAGATGGTGGACATTTTCAGCATCTGCTGCTCTGTAGGTTCCTGTAATATTCTTCCTAACAGACGAAAACCATCGAACAGCTCGTTTGTCTTGTTTTTTTTTTTTTTTTTTTTTTGTTTTTTGGTT